CTCACCACACCACACCACACACCACACCACACACACACCACACCTTACCACACTACACACACACACACCTTACCACACCACACACCTACCACACCACACACCTACCACACCACACACACACCACACCTTACCACACACACCACACCTTACCACACACACCACACCACACACTAATTACAGAGAAACACGTCACCCATGATATACCAGCACAACAATAGCCCACACAGCACCGCCAACCTACAAGATGCCTCAGCGATAACTTAAGATTTGTCTAAAACCTCTACCGCCGTTTCCTCACTACCTATGAATAAGAAAGACTATATTAAGATTTGGCAAAGACCCCCATCGGTGAGTGAGGGCCGTTGAGCACATACCGTGACTAATTCTCGGCTAATATTCTAAATTTACGAAAAGTTCCTGAAAAATTACGTCACACACACACACACACACACACACACACACACACACACACACACACACACACACACACGTACGTCCCTTTCAACCAACTCGGTGGCACTAAATCAACGAATGTACCAGACAATTAAAAAAATCAATAAAAAAATCACTAGTATGGACATTTAACTGAATCCTCTGATGAAACTCTGGACACATTATGAGGGGGGGGAGGGGGAGGAGGGAGGGGGGGAAGGGGTTGTCGTGTGTGTAAAGGAGGTGCGGCGACTTGTCCTTCCGGCAACAGTGTGAGGAGTGTCTTGTCCTCCAGTGGTGGTGGTGAGTGATGGTGGTGGTGGTGAGTGGTGGTAGTATGGCAGTGTGCTGGGTGGTGGTAGGGGTGGTGGTGTGGTACGACCTTGGCCAACACAACGGGCCACAACACTCACCAATACAGTTATCTCCTACCCCCTCCTCCCACTCACATTCCTATCATTACACACACAGCACTATACTCATCCCCCCTTCTCCCTCCCTCTCACATTATCAATACACATACCGTACCAAAGGGCGCCTCTCACAGTATAAAAACTCACTCGGGACAATACCCATCAACAGTTAGATGCCCCCAAACACAAGGGATAATACCCTCACCTCCCTCAGCCGGGGGTTAAATTAACACACAGTAAACAAACACTATGTAAGGTAATACTCCACTTATACCTGCGACACGTGTGAGGTGATTGTTATTATTGTTACGGTGAGGGTGGTAAAAACATAATCAGGTAAATGACACAAAAATCTGTACAGGTGTGGAGGTAAGACAGGTGTACAAGGAAGACGGGTGTCAAGGCGGGTGGACAGGAGGGAAGGAGGGAGGTCGTGGACGGGATCATCAATGAGGAACCTTCCCGGGGGTTTTCCCAGGCACTACGTCCTGTCTCTCCCTCCCCCCCCCGACACCTCACCGGACGCCCACACTTCGCAACTCATGCTTCACTTACCCTCTTCCACCCACCCATTTACGGACACGTGTTTGTATTAGCGGAGGAGGTATGTGGAGAAGGACACACACACACACACACACACACACACACACACACACACACACACAGTACATTATCGACACTCCTAACAATGTAATTATATAAACAATGAGAAATAGAGACACATTATACCTGTGTGTGCGTGTGAGAAAAATAAGCCAATTCCTGTCTTGTAATGCGTTAATTCTGAGGTTTATACAGAAGCCTCGAGCAAAACTCACAAGTCACAATTGGAAATCTCTCTACGATGGGATGGCAGTTAAGTACAATACGTAGCTACAAGCGTACGTGGGAAGGACAAGTACAAATCAACATGCCTCACACTCGCATTATACATACAACATACATAAACACATTACACATACAAATTATATACACATTACAAACATACATACATACATACATACATACATACATTGAGGGTGTATCGGCCATTAAGCAAGACACGTTAGAGCCAACAATCTCTGGACTGTTGCAGACAAGTAACATTTACGGAACTTAATACCGTATGGCCAGGAGACAGCGGTGCAGGGGACGACGCTAGCATATTGTGTTGTGATGTGTTGTGGTGTTTTATATTGTGTTGTGGTTTTGTGATGTGCATTGTAGTGTGTTGTGATGTGTATTCTGTTACCGTATTAGTTCAAATCGAGGTGCACCCCCCAGTCACGAGGCTCTGGCCCGCCCTCTCGCTCTCCAGCCCACAATTTATGGGCGGACGCTGCTCATCTGGGGCACGCGTCGCTCCCTGGGTACTGTGTGTGTGTGTGTCCTTACCTCGGTCACTTTATGGTTCAGGTCTGCCAACTTTTTCACACAGCTGCACCAGACAACAAAGCGCCTCGTCCACACACACACACACACACACACACACACACACACACACAGAGTACACCCGGCACCGTACGCACCCCGCCTCCACCTGTGCGTTAGGTGGAGCTGGATGCTCTACGCTCCTTTAAAAATGTTCTAAATGGTTGGAGGACAAAAAGCGGCGTAACAACTCGGGGATTCGCCTACACTGTCCTCCCCTCCCACGACACATGGACTGAGTCACTCCTGATAGACACACACACACACAAATATATACACCTGATACACACACACACACATAAATATATATACCTAGACACACAGACAGACACAGTGGCTGGTGTTAAGGAGTACGTCCCACCCCCCGAGGATGGCCCCGCCAGATAATGTGCTGCAGCCCTGTACACGGATTTCCTCGTAACCCCAGACCTGCCCCACCCACCCACCCACCACACCACCTCCCTCACACACAACAGGGAGTCTCGCTACACTACACCATCCTCTACTCCTATAACACAAAATAAAAAGCGGTTCTCATTCATTAACAGGCTGGAGGAGGAGGAGGAAGGGTGGTGATGGAGGAGGACTGGTGGAGGAAGAGGAAAATGCTGGATAGAACTTATAAAAAATAGAGAAAAAAGTGAACCCTACTAAGTGGTAAGGCAAATGACGATGGGTGTTGGTGGGTGAGTGGTGTTGGTGGGTGAGTGGTGGGTGGTGTTGGTGGGTGAGTGGTGTTGGTGGGTGAGTGGTGTTGGTGGTGTTGGTGATGAGCGAGTGTTGGTGGCAACACAACACAACCGTGGTGGTTGTCTTGGAGGCCACCTTCTCAGAACCAGCCACGGATTCCTACAAACTTGGCCGGTCGGGGGTGAAGAGGGGTGGGTGAAGAGGGTGAAGAAGGGGGGGGGTGAAGAGGGGGTGAAGAGGTGGAGAAGAGGGGGGGGAAGGTGAAGAGGGGGTGAAGAGGGGGTGAAGAGGGGTGAAGAGGAGGGAGTGGAGGAGAAGAGGAGTGGAGGAAGAGGAGTGAAAGAGGGGAGGGATGAAGAGTGGAAGAAGAGGGGTGGAGGAAGAGGGAGTGAGAGAGTGAGGAGTGGAGAGAGGAGGGGAGTGGAGAGAAGGGGGAGTGGAGAAAGAGGAGTGGAGGAAGAGAAGAGGGGAAGGAGAGGGGAGTGAAGAGGAGAGTGGAGGAGTGGGGAGGGAGAAGAGAGTGGAGGAGAGGAAGGAGAAGAGGGGAGTGGAGGAGAGAGTGGAGGAGAGAGTGGAGAGAGGGGAGGAGGGAGGAGGAAAGAGGGGAGGAGAAGGGAGTGGAGGAAGAGGAGTGGAGGGAAGAGAGGGGGAGTGGAGAAAAGAGGGGGGTGGAGGAGGAGGGGTTAGTGGAGGAGAAGAGGGGAGGGAGGAGAAGAGGGAGGGGGGGAGGAGGGGTTAGAGAGGGAGGGAGAGGGAGGGGGGTAGGGGGAGGGAGGTGAGAGGGGAGGATGGAGAGGGATAGGGGGAGGGGTTAGAGGTGGGGGAGGGAGAGGGAGGGGGGTTAGGGAGGGAGGGGTTAGGAGGGATAGGGAGGGGGAGGATAGAGGGGGGTTGGGAGGAAGGGATAGGGGGGTTGGAGGGAGGGATAGAGGGGGTTAGGAGGATGGGGGGTAGAGGGGGATAGGGGGTTAGGCTAGGGGAGTTGGGGATAGGGATTAAGAGGGGGGGGATTAGAGGGAGGGGAGGGGGATAGGGGTTAGGAGGGAGGAGGATGGGGGGGGAGAGGGATAGGGGGTTAGGAGGGATAGAGGGGGTTAGGAGGAGGATAGAGGTTCTCTCAGTGTCTGTGCTCCAGGATGCAGCCATTCCTGGGCTTTACTTGTGATTTAATGAGTCAAGTGGTCAGGGAGGCGGTTACTACTACTCTCCGGCCGCTCACTACACCAGGAAGAGGTGTGTGTGTGTGTGTGTGTGTGTGTGTAGTGTGTGGAATCTCATCTCCCCATCTCTCCTCCCACCCTCTCACCACCCTCTCCCTCTCCCTCACTCCCTCTCACCCTCCCTCACCCCTCCCTCCCTCACTCCCCCTCACTCCCACACCTCCCTCCTCACCCCCTCACCTCCCCCTCACCCCCTCTCTCCTCTCTGTCCCCTTTTATCTCCTTCCCCCCCTCTACTCCCTCTCTCTACCACACTCTACTCCCTCTCCCTCTCCCCACACTCCTCTCCTCACCCACACCCCCCTCTCCCTCCCACTGCCCTCCCTCCACACACTCTACCTCCCTCTCCTCCTCCCTCTCCCTCCTCCCATCACTCCTTTGTCTGAAAATACTGCAATAGTAAACAAAACAGAAGTGGTACTCAGGGAGGGAGGAGGTGAGTGGGGGAGGGAGAGGAGGAGGTGAGGAGGGGAGGAGGGAGGATTGAGTGATGGGGGGAGAGGTATCACAATAAAGGACAACCAAGAACAGCATTCCCTCATCTAAGTGTTGCCAGGGTCACGCGGGACAGTAATAACCCAGCAGGCAAGGAGGCTACTCACACTGCCTAAATTATTTCCCCTCCACCCCAGACACCACCTCCCCACCACCCCAGACACCACCTCCCCTCCCACCCCAGACACCACCTCCCCTCCCCCCAGACACCTCCCCCCCAACACCGGGCACAGGAAGAAGCTGTGGCTCTACACTCAAATATTGAGGGGTAGTCATCCAAATTTCAAGGATTTCTTAAAATAAAGCCAACAACAACTCCGACGCCGTCACACCACATGACCAAACAACAACTCCGACGCCGTCACACCACATGACCAACAACAACTCCGACGCCGTCACACCACATGACTAACAACAACTCCGACGCCGTCACACCACATGACCAACAACAACTCCGACGCCGTCACGCCACATGACCAACAACAACAACAATTATAGGGTAACGTTATTATTCATATTATAATAATGTCAACACAGCCATACAATACGCACTTAACCCAACACCATTAGTACTGTGTTTAATGGGACATATACTAACGTCAATGATGGTGCTGTGCTGTGAGGCGAGGAACACCAATTATTACAGCACTAGACATACATACCTACCTAACTGTCACAGCACCTCCCGTCATGTGCTGTGCTGTGCTGTGTAGAGGCGCGAGGAACACACACACAGACACACATACCTACCCATCACCTCAGAGTAGAACCTTAGGCAGCACAACACACTCAACACTTACCTGAAAAAGGGGGGAAAATATAATTATATCTGATTACACATAATTAACAGGTGTGGCTCTACCTATTGGCCTATGAGTAACACACAGACCCCAACCCACACTTCCTACTACTAAACACAGATACTTACCTCATCATGGGAGACACTGAAGCATAAATATTTGTGCTGTAAAATTAATAAACACCTCCAACAAGCTTCTTCTGTGTGTGTGTGTGTGTGTGTGTGTGTCACTGTAACTATGTGGGTGAAGTTAGGTTAGATTAGGTTAGGTTGTACAACTTAATATAATAACTACGTGTGATGAAGGTTAAATATCATTACATCATCATCACCTATCAAACACTCTCCTCCTCCCTAGTCAGTCTCCGGCTACCACAAACGCCACTCATTGAAAAGGTTATACAAAACTTCTGGTGTATGACCGTCAACACCACGCCCACACCAACCAACCGTAATGGCATTTGACACGCGTTTTAATCCACACCTTCAGAATCGGGCGTCTCTCACTTAACCAACTCGACTGTGAGAGAAAGGTAATAGAATAACTCTCCCCCTCTCAAGTGAGGAAGGGCTTGGGGGGTTCATTCATTCAAATCCCAGGAAATGCTTGAGAGGGGGGAGTGAGGAGGGGGAGGCTGAGTGAGGGAGGGAGGCTGAGGAGGGGCTTTGTAAGAATCTCCTCCTCGACTCGTGACGCTCACTGCTAGATACTTAAAAGAACTACATCATCAATAACATGTTTACGACCAAGTGAGTGACAACAGCAGAGTTTTAAACGAGAGAGAGAGAGAGAGAGAGTTAACAAGCACCTTCGTTTCACCTGTGGAGGCGTGTCAATCTGGTCTCTGGACACCAAGAAACCTCACCTGTACCCCCCCCCCTCTCCTCCCTCACTAACACAGCAGCCAATTATTATCGAGTCAGACCACCACATTACACACGGCCCACACATCAATACTCCCACCTCTTAAGTGTACACCTCCCCCACCCACCCACTACATCCTTGGACGCACAACACCGCCCACATATTTACTAACCCAAGGCTTCGGTAAGATCCCACCATCAAAACACAACTATACCGCGCGAAGACGCATCACCGCCCACATCATACCCTTCACACCCTGTCACTGACCTTATTCTGCCGCCCACACCACCGCCCACCAACAGAAATCATCTTGACGTAAATTCGGGGTATTCCTCTCCCCCCCCACAGTTAAGCGGGGGTTCAAAACACCTCGATGGGTCGCTCACCATCCCACACAGGTCATCCCCTTCCCTAGTGTGTCACATAGGAAGCCACCACCACATGACCTGACTCTTCGTGTCTTCTCTGGTAATTGACTTTATAACCCTCGTATCTTTGGCCGGTTATTATACTCAACTAACTATAACGCACAGTTCCCCTTCACTAGTGCGTTTACAGGGGCTAGTCAGGTTTAGTGCAGTGTGGCAGTTATTATGTTTATTTATATTCGACAGAAGAAACTAGCAATAGTAAACACACCATGGAATGAGTAAAACAATATTAAAACAAATATCTCAATGTAATGATTTGTGGAATGTTTATATGACGAGCCCCTGTAAACGCACTAGTGAAGGGGACTGACTGTACCTTTCTACGGTCTCCTGTGCCCCGTCTAACACAGTCTTCACCACAACCATGTTTACACAGTTACCCAATGTTTATTTACACCAAGTCACTGATACGGTTACAACTACGTCACTACGCTTCCAACGTGTCTGATAACAGGTTCTTTGTCAGAATCATCGCGAAGACTGGGCGGACGCTTACTGGTTCACCCAAGGCCGCCGCCACACACTACACGAGGTATACAGTATGCTCTAACAACTTAAATTTCAATGCAAACATTCATACTGTACAAATTGAGACACCTCCCCACCTCTCCCTCCCCTTCCCTAGTGAGATGAACTTATGAAGCCACCAATGCCTCCTCTCCCCAAGTGATTCATTAACCCAATCAACTCTCTCTCTCGGCTTCCTTAACCAATCGCCACAGTTCGGATGAGTTGATTGGCTGTCAGGTTCGGGCAAATCCGTGACCGTGTGGGCGGAGTTTGGCGGACAGGTTAACTAGATTTTTTTCAAGGGGGAAAATCGTAAAAATACTAAGTGTAAAACCGTTTATAATAAGTAAACAAATACAATACAGGACGCGAAGACGAGACAGAGTCCCCCACCTCTTTCCAGAACTTACATCCGTCACTGGTCTATAATGTCTTTACTGGATACAAAACACTACCAAATACATAATACACACGTGATAGACTACAGCATAAGGATCTACAGGACTGACTCGGCCAGGTGTCCCAGACTGCCTCCTACAATCCTCCATCATCATCATCCACCAGAGGATGGTGAGGAGGAGGTGAGGGAGAAGGTGGTGAGGTGAGGAGGTGAGGGAGAGGTGAGGTGAGGAGAGAGGTGAGGAGGGTGAGGAAGGAGAGGGGAGGGTGAGGTGAGGTAAGAGGTGAGGGTGGAAGGTGTGGGGGGAAGGTGTGGGGGAAGGTGTGGGGAGAAGGTGTGGGGGGTGTGGGGGGAAGGTGTGGGGAGGGAGGTGTGGGGGAAGGTATTGATCGAAATCATTTAAGCAGGAAGTAGGACCACATGCCTGACCACTACTGCCCAAACACCACATAGTGAAGCTCTGGGTGTCATGCGGTGACCTCATAGGGTATAAAAGTCTCGGCGGCGTCATATAGTACCAGCAAGTGTAGAGAGAGAGAGAGTTGTGACGTCAGAGTTATCGCAGATGTGACGTCATGCTGGGGAGTGATGTCAGGGATGGCAGGTACGGTAGGGTGAAGTTGCGGCGTCACGTAGGTTAGGTAGGAAGTGATGTCATGGAGGTATTTACGTTGTGGTGTCATGCGGGGAGGGATGTCATATGAAGATGCGGTGTCATGCAGGGAGTGACCTCATGACGGTAAGGGAGAATGACTTTATGGAGGTGTCTAGCTCGTATTGATGTCAGAGGAAGTGACGTCGTGAAGGGTGTGACATCAGAGTAGGTGGTGTTGACGATGGCATAATAGTTATGTCACGTAAGATGTCATTTAGATCCTGACATCGTGGTTTTAGTCGTGTAGTTACGGCACACTAATAATAATAATAATAATAATAATAATAATAATAATAATAATAATAATAGCCATAATAATAATAATAATAATAATAATAATAATAATAATAATAATAGCAATAATAATAATAATAATAATAATAATAATAATAATAGCAATAATAATAATAATAATAATAATAATAATAATAATAGCAATAATAATAATAATAATAATAATAATAATAATAATAATAATAGCAATAATAATAATAATAATAATAATAGCAATAATAATAATAATAATAATAATAATAATAATAATAATAATAATAATAATAATAATAGCAATAATAATAATAATAATAATAATAATAATAATAATAATAATAATAATAATAATAATAATAATCATCATCTAAAAGGTGAACAACATTACCTATTCTGAAACGCCATTAACTGCTACCATAACCCTGGTAGTCAGACACAGTGGCTGGCATCCTGACTACAAACGTTCACTTATACGTCTTCTCATACCAGGCACTGACACCTGATCCTTATATCAGGTATTAGTTCAGTGTTGGATCCCGTATTGAGAATTATGGGTAGAATGAGTCACCATGTGTCGTCTGTGTACATTGTTTGGGGTAGTGTTAACAGTTCATGATATTTCAGAAAGGCGTTTGTGAGTGCGTTGTCAGCTAAGACTTTTTATGAATAACTTACCTTTCCTAACCTAACTTGGCCAAAACTAAGCTAACTTAACCTAGCTTTAACTTAATTTAGCCTAATCTAACCTAACTCAGCCTAACCTAACCTAACCAAAATATCACGTCGGGGAAATACTTAATTAATGTCTTGAGTCACTTCGTTCACCCCATCTCCATCAATAAGTGACTCCCAGGGCAATGACTTGTGTCCCATAAAGCCAACTTTTCTAGTCTGACCCTCAATATTCTGGGACTGACCTCTCACACACTACCTCCAACATCACTAATCATATACGGTATAAGAGTGTGTGTGTGTGTATAAATATGAGTTATACATGTCTGGTAATCTAATAAATTACCAATATAAAATAATATGCTGTACCCGAATATAAATTGACAATAATGTCTCGCTTGATCTAAGTTTAGCATCAGCAAAAGTCAGTGTCGACTCTTATGAGTGTTGAGAGCTCGACCAAACGGAGGGAGAGAGTCGAGAGGATGTTTTATGACAAGGGCCAACATGAGCTCAGGTGGAGGTGAATGCACTACCAACCACTGGGATTTAGGAGTAATGATAAGTAGTTATCCTAAACCTAGTGAACTATGTGTATTTGCCGAAACAAGGTTAACAAAGTACTTGGGTTCATACAAAGGAGTGTTAGTTACAAGACCAGCGAGGTCATCCTAAAACTATATATTGCACTTGTGAGACCTCACTTGGATTACGCAGTTCTGGTCACCGTACTACAGAATAGATATAGAATCCCTAGAAAGAACTCAGAGGAGAATGACAAGACTAATCCCTGGCACTAGGAACCTTGAGTACAGAGACAGGTTAAAGCATCTTATGTGGCACTCCCTCGAGAGCCGTAGAGCGAGGGGCGATATGATCGAGGTGTATAAATGGAAGTCGGGGCTAAACAAAGGGGATATAACAAAGGTACTCAAACTATCCAACCAGAAGCGAACTCGTAACAATGGTTTTAAATTAGACAAATTTAGATTTAGGCGCGAGATAGGTAAACATTGGTTTGGAAATAAAGTAGTGGATGAGTGGAACAAGTTACCAAACATTATCATTAACTCTAATACGCTGGATAGCTTCAAACATAGGTTGGATGGATATATGAGCGATAGGGGTTGGGTGTAAACGGGACAGTCCAGTATGAACCGCTGCAGTTTCCTCCATTCTTATCTAAACCTCAAGTGTT